CGGACTTAGGGAGCTCGGGTTCTTACTTAGGGAGCTCGGACCCTTAACAGGGAGCTTGCTCGTTTTGGAGTGTTCCGAGCTGCCATGGGCCAGCTCGGGTCAGCTTTGTGAGGCTTGGGGCCTAGTATAGTTCGTGCTCCTTGCAGGGAGCTTGGGTTCTCAGTAGGGAGGTCGGACTCAGTAGAGCGGTCTGGAGTTCGGGCTCGGTAGTGAGCTTGGACTTGCTTCCGATGTTCACTTCGGGCACTCTACTGTCCCGAGTTGCTTGCCTTTGCCACGTGTCGGGCGATTGCGAGATCAGGCCAAATTTCCCTTCATCAGCGACAATTTTGCAGCGTTGGCAGCAGCAACAAGGAGACAAGGATGCAGTGAGTTTTGAATTTTTTGCTTAATGGTGTTGTTTTGGATTCATTTTATTTGTCCCAATTAAGTACCACTTGGCAAATCCTTTTTATTTGAAAACTCAATATGATACCATGGCTGTTCATTCATGAATTTCAAATTTTGTTATTTTTTAATATTTTATTACTTCATAATAATGCAATCAACTGAATCAAGGAATATTGGCTTGAGGAGGGTGACGTGTTTCCATATCAAGTTCTTGTGCCGGCTGAATTGCACCCATAAACTAACACCGTTTACCTACCATCCTCAACATGCATCATAGCTGTAGAAATTTTCTGTTTTTTTCCTGTATTTTTTTATTTTTTGTGTTTTTTTCTGTATTTTTTAGAATTTGTCTGTATTTTATTTTTATTTTTTTCTATGTGTTTTGTACTGTTTTTTTATATAAATAGTTTTATTTTCTGTATTTTTTAATTTTATGCATTTTTTATTATTTATAAATATATTTTTCTTTTAATTTATTAATGACATCACAGGTCAAACTGTTCGACCTAGATGGTATCACTTAACCGGAAACCGGTCCCCTCACCGATTCTATTTTCGGGTTGTTTTCAAAAACCTTGTAAATATATTATAATATTAATTACTTTAAACGCCCAATCAGTAGTATCTTTTTTTTGTATTTTTCAAAAAAATACAGGTAAAACAAATTGAAATAAATCGGGGCCACTAGTGAAACGGAACACTTGTAAAACGCTCGGTGCCAAACAAGCACCAAGTAATTTACATTTCAATTTTCAAGGTCACTAGCGGGGTCAAAAACTGATAAGATCCAGAAGTTTATCACAATTCACAAACCAAAGTTAGGGCCCAGGGGGCATACCCGGTTTGGCAATTGTTCTGACCGTGATTCTAACATTTTGCTGTATACCGTACCGTCAGCGTTGCCTCTAGTTCGGGACTTCGGTTCGGTTTACCAGGATCACCTGAAGGCTGAAGCTCCCCCTCTTCCTTGTTTTGACTAGCGACTACCGAGCCATAGAGAGCCACGTATGGTGAGGTTTTAGATTTTTAGTCGATGGTCGGTGATGAACCGATGATGAGAAGACCTACCAAGGCGAATCTGCCTATCGGCAAGGGCAGATCGCGGTATTTTCCGGCTCAACCATGGCCATCCGCGCGGCAACGGCACTGGCGCCATCGCTTCTGCCGAGATCAAGGCACGTCTTTGCGTTATTCTTTCTCGTTGGCCAGGTCGGACCCAGACCCAGATATGCTTCTTCCTCGCGGGACCAGCCGGAAAACCCAACCACTTCCTTGCCCAAGCCCGAGAAGAAGCACGCCAGCCGTCTCTCCGCCGTTATAGACGCTGTCAACGACCGCAAGCTCCCTCCTGAACTTCGTGGCCAACGAAACTCTGTGAGGTATGTTTTCTTGTTCTTCGTCTTGTCCCTTTCTCAATGAAATTTTTATAGGCTTCTGTGTGTTAAGATTGAATTTGTCACTAAGAATATGTTGAACAGCTTGAAACTCTGATCTGAGAAGCTCAATCAGTTGGTAATTGTTTCTACTTTTATTTTTTATTTCTTTTATTTTTTATTTTTTCTGTTGAACTTCAATTTCAATATATCATCATCATCATCATCTAAATCATCATGTAAGCCTTTTCCCCAACTATACGAGGGTCTATGTGAGGGTCAGCTACATTAATGCTGTTTCGCCGTTCCGTTTGTTCAGCGCCATATCCAGTGTTTAATTACGATCTCTTAAGTCATTTCTTATTACCTCAACCTCAATCATTTGGTCTGCCTGTAGCTCGTCTAGCCCCTTCAACAAAGATCACTTATTTTCATGGGTGCTATAATTTCCCTTATTTTGTCACCTATTGGAGTTAGGGGTGAGCAAATGGGTAGGTTGATTGGAGTTACAGTCAGATTTCTTTGAATGAGTTGATTTCTGATCCCGTCTTGGGTTTCATGGAGACTTAAGTGACTCTATAGGTTTCATGGGCGGATGCACATCATCCCCGGATGATCTCCCTCTCTAATTGAGTCCAATTCTATTCCTCTTGATTCTCCAACCTAACCTGCAAGGATCAAACCTAACTCTGATTTTAGATCTGATTTATGAAATCCAGTGGGAATCATTTTGGTTGACCTAAACCTTATAGGGAATTCTTGTAGGAAGTAATCTCTAAAGGCCTTCCATCATTAATGTGAGATGATATGGTGAGTGAAAATACACTCTAAAATGGAGTTATTTATTAACTATTGATGTCCTTAGATCACTTCATGAGATGATAGGGCATCATAAACTAGTGGGAGAGGCTTATCCTAAAATGGAAGACTCTCTCACAATACCTTAGTATACCTATGTGATGGATCAAGACTTAACTATTAGAAGGGATTAACCTAAAATGCCTATGGAACCTTATTTGATAGAGGCCAAAGGGGAAATTCATTTGATGGATAGATAAGAGTATTCTCTTCAAAAAGTAGTAGGGCTATACAACTATAACAATTGCCCCTATGCACCCGTGGGATTCCTCACATTCTCAGATGTCTGAGAGCATCTCTTGAAATGGAGGGAATTCTCAAGATGAATAAATGAGAATGAAATGTAAACAAAAGCCCTCTCTACACTTCAACACATGAAATAAAGTTGTGGATTAATTATTTCAATTTGCATTTGTAGAAATGGGAAACAAACTCTTTGCTAAAACAATCGATGATAACAAACTCAATATTTCAAATTATACCAATTGAAAGTGCAATCTCCACATTGTCCTTGTGTTTGAAAAAACTAAACAAGATTGCCAATGAGGAAGCTCCTGGTGATCACGTTTCTAAGCAAAGAAGGAAAACATATAAGGAATGGCAAGATAATAATTCTCTTGCCAAGTGTTACATCCTCGCTTCATTGGAAATTCTATTCAGAAACAATATGAAAACATAACAACCTGTAGGGAAACTCTATATAGTCTAAATTTTCTTTATAAGGAGTAGAGCCATTTGGTTGTACAAAAAGTTCTCAAGTCGTTGATGACCACCTGAATGATTGAAAGTTAGCCAATTTATAACAATGTCATGAAAATGATTGGATATATCATGAATTGGATGCTATTGGTAGTATGCTTGAGGATGGCATAAAGATCAATGTGATCTTGAGCTCGTTTTCTCCCTCTCTTAATTAGTTATTGTCAAAATTCAACATGAACAAAATGAAAGTTACCTTGCCCAAGCCTTGTAATATGTTGTAGTGAGCAAAAGAATTAATGCAAAAGGAGAAGCCAGTTGCCAGCCTTGTAGAAGAAGGAATTTGGCAAAAAGAAGAGGAAGCCTAGGAGAAAGGCTTAAAAGAAACAAGACAAGTCTGGGAAGAATTTAAAGAAAGACAAGTCATTAGATGAGTGTCACTTTTGCAAATAGAAAGGGCACTAGAAGAGGAACTACCCTAAGTACATGCACTCCATTAAGAAGAAGCCTAATGAAGGTATGCTCGAATCTAATGTCATGGAGACTAGTATGTTGGTCACTTCTACTTTATCTTGGTGTATAGAATTAGGAGCTTCAATTCATGCTTGTAATACTTTGCAGATGTTCGAGAGAAGCAGAAGGCCAACTGAGGACTAGGTGGTGTTGTACATGGTAACATCTACAAATGTTGCAGCCACTACTATAGGAACAATAGACTTAGCCCCTATTTGGGAGTGCTTGTCCTAATAAGTGCTCATGAGTTGGATCCAATTGAAAATCGTATCATATCCTATTTTTGTTGGATTCTTGGATTGGATCGGATCAGATAATTAGGGGTGGTGGGCTTATTTTTAAAACCGAACCGGGGACCGGGGTTACCAGTTTTTGGGGTAACCAAAACTGAACTGAAGCCGATCGGTTAACCGGTTGACCGGTTCGGTTAACCATTGGTTTGGTTTGTTGGTTCATCAATTTTTTATTATTTACAATATATTATAAAAAACATATATAAATATATAATAAAACACTAGAAATATATATAAAATATTATATTTTATATAATAAATAATATATTATATATTATAAATATATATTTATATATAATGCATATTTATTAATTTATAATGTATAGAAAATATAATATATATAATATACATAAATATACATAAAATATATATAAATATATGTATATCGGTCGGTTCGGTTAACTACCAGTTTTCTATTTTGGTTAACCGAAACCAAACCGGCACCTTCATTTTTTTTAAATACTGAACTGAAACCGAACCAACCGGTTTGGTTAATCAAATTTTCTGTTTGGTTTTGGTCGGTTTTTTTGGTCAGTTTAGTTTTTTGTTTTTTCTTGCTCACCCCTACAGATAATCGGATCCAATTGAAACTTGTATCAGATTCGGGTCACCCCCTATCTGATCCGGTCCGACCTATATATGTATATATATTTATAAACATATTTACTTATAAAAAGGCATTTGCATTTTTTTGTAAATTTTTCTATAAAAAGACATGTATATATTAATATATATGATGAAAATAGTTGAAAAAATACTTATGTTTTTGTTTTTCTTTATATAAACTTTTATGTTTTTTTCTTTTAATAATTTATTAAATATTTCATAATTTGAATTGGATCGGATCATATTCGGACATCTGACATCCTTAATGGATTCAGATTTGGATCACCATTTCTGAGATCCAATCAGATATCAGATATGTGATATCAGATCGGATTCAGATATACCTTGATTCAAATCTGATCCGATTCATTTGCATCCCTACTAGCCTCCTGGATATACTCTTATATATACTGTTAATAAAGTGCTTAAATGAGTGTTCTTGTGTGATAGAACAGTTAATTGCACAACAGTGTTATGCATCTTCATTCTTCTTAAAAAGATTTTTATTATAAATAAAGAAAAATGAGATCCTCCATCATCTTCTTCCTCCTCCCCTTCCCCTCCTTCCTCCTCATCCCCCTCCTCTTAAGGAGGCTTATGTCTCTTATGTTCTGAACTACACCCCACTGTTATGGGCCCGGGAATAGAATCGCGTCACGGGTCGGTCCACGGGGAAAAGCTCCTGTTTTCCCTTGTTCCTTCCCTTCCTAGCTGAACCTATCTTGGCGTCCTAGAGGGTGATTTGTCCAAGAGATCACCGAACTCTCCTTTTACTCTCTTTCTTGACTGGAAATTTGATATCCTCATTCAATAATGGGGTCTCCTTAAATAG